GGGGGGGGGGGGGGGGGGGGGGGGGTTGGAGAGGGGAGGCTTGCAACAGTCGGCAAAAATGCATACTGCTACGACCCTCTGTGTGTGTTTTGCCTGTTCGGGTATTTCTATTCGCCAACCACGCAAGCTCTGATGCTGAAATTCTGCCGCTGCGTTCCCTGGCCAAATGGGGCCCCAGGAACTTAATATCAACTGTCACGCGCGTCAAACTCTCACGTACGGTCACATGAAAGTTTTGGCGGGAAGATTGACAATTCGGGAACGAGAAAAGCTAGGAAGCTGAAAGTTTGGGGAATGTCCCTGTCTAAAAGATTTCAGATTAAGCGCTTTAGAATGGCCCTAGACTCACGTACGGACACGTCAAGAATTCGGCGAGAAAATTACTAACTCGGAAATGAGGAAAGCTAGAAAGTTGGAAATTTGAGGGAATGCCTTCTATCCATATACAACCAAAAGACTTCCAATTCAGCCCCTTAAAACCGCTCGTGTCCCACGTACGGGTAAGTGAATGTTCTGACAGGAAAAATGCTAACTCGGGAATGACAAAAGCTGAAAGGCTGGAATTTTAAGGGAATATTCCCTACTCATGTGCGACTAAAATATTTCAAATTCAACTCTTCTGATAGTGTCTTTTTTATGCACGAGTAACGTTCCATTTCTCGTGTTCTGAGGCTGACATCTGCAACTGACATACCACGTAGCTGCACAGTTAATTTCCTGAACTTAGAGGGCCAGTATATCACAAATTCTAGCTACTGTGATTCTTTGCGATCTTGCTGCAGCACAAAATAGTGCAAAAACGTATGCTCGCACCCGCTTGCCTGGTGCGTTCCAGCCTGGGTTGCATATTACGATGAATCTGAACTCTAGATTGCAAAACGACGAAAACCAGACACAGCCAATGAAAAAGCAATAAAATCCGTAAATTGATTTCATTTGTTGGAGTGATTGCCAACTGAAGAGAGACTCTTCGGTCGATGGTATTTACAGCTGACTCCATTGAACAGCTGTAAAAATATTAATGATAAAACTCGAATTAAAGAGACGATTTCTGCCGGCAGTGTGAGTTCAATTTATCCCATGCAAGCAGTGCTGCTAGCGGTACCATGTGATTCCTGGATCTGCAAGAGCTGTTGTCATTGGATATCGTTGTTGTCATCTGCTCCACGAAAAAGCCTCAGTTTCACCTTGCGCTTTTAATCACTGCGACATGTGGTTTAGGTTCTGTCATCCATCCAATGAATTTTTTTTTTCTCTAATTTAATTCCAGTTTTCCCAGAGGGAAACACCTCTATTATATTTTTCATGGATGGCCCTCTTTTGTTGTGCAGTTCAGCCACTTGCAGGATTATTTCAGTCACAGAGCTGTGAAGTTTTCAGCCCTCAGTTTGCTCCTCTAGTTACCCTCTCTTTTGGCCTAGCAGTAACAAGCGTGATTTATGAGATACTGGTAAGGGGATTCAACAGTTGAAGTATTTTGTTCCACGAAATTCAGGAAATTCCTACAGAGGCCTCCCCTATTTTCATGTATTTACGCATGTTACTCTGGAATTGATTTTGCTCCTGGACAGACGTGACGACCTCGCGCAGTGAGCTTCATGCCTTTCTTGCATTTCAGATTCGTTGCAGTGACGATGTTAAAATACTTTACTGCTCCACTTGGCAACTCGTTTTCGGCGATCACTGATTCGTTTACACATTAAGCTGGGACAGCGCAGAATACAGCGTTCTGTACACCACGCGGGATGCCTTTGACTTATTTTTCAACTGGAAGAATCAGAAGTGAATGACGTTACTATTTTATGAAAGCGCAAGCACTTGGAGAACAGGAAGTACATCACTTTTCGCAAGAGCGGAGAGGTGACGAAGTGAGAGCGAAAGAACAAGTTTGCATGTATTTGTCATTAGCTGCTGATTTCTTACTTCTGTAATGTTTGGAAGAAAAATAATCGAAATATTTTCCAGCCATTTTCTAGCTGTGGGGGAAATGGGGAGGCAAAGGGAAGAGGGAGGGGAAGGAGAGAGAAACTGAGGAAAAAGTTGAGTACTGGAGATCGTTCATGAACGCTCTAATCACCCGATAGCTCTGAAAATCCAGTTCTTTCTTCAGTTCATCTTTTCCTTCAGATATTGCTGTTCACACTATTCCTGTATTTTCGAGCTTTTCCCAGTGCTGCTAGACTATTATTATAAGTATAAACATGAAATTCATTTAATAGGTATTCTTAAATGTGAAGGCTAAGTGGTTTACGCCGAACACCAACCTAAAGAAGGCAGTTCTCTTGCACCTAGGAATTGTTAAATTCACTCGCATAACTTCCAGAAATATTGGAATAAAAGACTGGGGTTTTCTGAAAGTGCGATTCACATACGTGAAATTTAGTCCTGAGAACTAGAACTGCCTATATTTGCTTATTTTTTTTACGCTGTATTTGATAATTTTCGTGCAACACTACGCACGACAATTCTATTTTGTCACAAATACTGTGCATTTTACAAATATTTTGCTTGAGAAGCGAATGCGCGCCGTGCTACTCAAATACTATCCATGATGTTGTGCGCGGATATGTGAAAATCGTTTTTAATTCATTAAACTAACTGGTTAATCAGTTACAGAGCACGCAAGGTTTTTATCAATGCTGGGGGCATTGACGATCGCCGCAGCAGTGCAAAGGTGGCGTGAAAATATCTTCAAGGCGCAAGAACAACGAAAACCCCCAGTCGCGCCCGCAACAGCCCCAGCACAAGCTGTTAAAAAGGCTGCGGCTCCACCAGCAAAACACAATGAAACTCAAAAAACCGTCGACTGGATCAGAAAAGAGGAGAGCTATGAGGAGGAGCAGGAGCCGATCTCTGTGAGTTCCCGATTAATACGCTTGCAAAACGCTTGTTCAAAATAGTGACTAAGCTAAATCACGTCAATTTTGCCAATGTTGAGCACTTGCTGTCAACTAAATGCTTATTTATTTCCTATGGTGACCACGAAAATTGAGTTCCCGCAACATGTGGCTGAAAGTTATTGCGTGCAACTCGGAATCCATAGAGATGAACTGCAAGCTGCAGCACATTTCATGATCAAAAGAGCAAATACGCATTAAAAAATCGGCTTAAAATTGGTTATTGTGTTTAACTATGTTTAGTTTTTTTTCTGCCTAAATATTTGATAATTTGAGATAGTGCGGCCAACTATTTCACTGAATAATTCAGTTTCCCCCAATTCCCCGTATTTTTTCATGTACATTGAAAATATAACAATATGTACATACATAGGAATAACTGTAATTACATCTGCTTATGTAAAGACTGAAATAAAATAGAGATATGCTGAAGCCGAAATAGCATATATGTATACTGAAGCTATAATAATATTAATAATAACCCAGGTAGAAGCGCACCAGGCTTGCCCATACGGTTGTGCATTCTTGCAGCAGATTTGATGTACTCAGTTCATTGACTACAAGAATAGTTGTTGCTTTGCACCCACCTTTTGCGCTCTTTAGCGCAAATCACCATTAATTTTGCATAAATAGTAAATAAACAATTTCCATTTGACGGACTTTTTATGCGTTTTTGCTGTGCAGCGCTATAGCAGCGCTGTAGCACTGCTACAGCCAGCAAAAACGCATATTGTCGAGAGGCTGTTTGTGTGTGTGTTCCGGAGTCGAATGCATTTTGTCACCCACTTTCATCTCAGCAACTAGGAAAGCTGGGAGGCTGAAACTTTGGATATAT